ACTCACTCACTCATTATTCACTTACCACTACTCACTCACTCACTCACTCACTCACTCACTCACTCACTCACTCACTCACTCACTCCGTCACTCACTCACTCACTCACTCGCTCACTCACTCACTCACTCACTCACTCACTCACTCACTCACTCACTTGCTAATTGCTCACTTACCACTACTCATTCACTCAGTCACTCATGCACGGACCCATACACGAACGGACAGACTGGAAAGACTGCATCCGAGGCTGGTGGTAACATATTGTGTATATATACACAGATCGATGGATGGATGGATGGATGGATGGATGGATGGAAGGATAGATAGATGGTGTCATGTGTTACACATATACATATATATATATGCATATATACATACGTGTATTTGTGTATGTGTGTGTATACATATATATATATATGTATATATATATATACATATACATAAATACATACATACATGCCTACATACATACATACATATAGGGAGGGAGGGAGGGAGAGGGAGAGAGGGAGAGAGGTACGTGTGTCCGACCTGTAGTTTGTGCACAAAAATCCCCCGAAAGCCCCATGAATCTTACCCGAAGGAAGAAGAAGGGAGAGAGGGAGAGAGGGGAAGAGAGGGGGAGAGGGGCAGAGGGAGAGAGGAGAGGGGGAGAAGAGGGGGGGAAGGGGGAGAGTAGAGCGGGAGAGAGGGAGAGGGAGAGGGAGAGNNGATAGATAGGCAGATAGATAGATAAATAGTTACATGTATTTTCAGGCCCCAAGCAAGGCAAATATAACCGTAGTCATTAAGTTGCTTGATCTTATCTACTGGCAGCGGCAGCAGTAGTGGTAGGGGCAAGGGCAGGGGTAGGGGTGGGGTGGGTTAGGGGCAGTGGTGGTCGGGTGTGGGCGAATGTGAAGCATCCGCCTCTCCAAAGAAGCCTTCAGCTCGTCACCCATCAGAGCACACGCCCTTGACCATAAGCGGAGCACCTCCACAACCCCAAACTAGAAACTTAATTCCTTGCCCCCACGAAGTGCTGAGGTGCCAGTCGAGAGCTTCAAGGGCCTGCAGACGGCGCGGCTGAAAAGATTTGGGGATGAAAGGTGAAGATGTCATGTTGGGTTCAGTGTCGTGTGTTTTCATGACGTTGCCAGAGGTCGGGATATCCGGATTCGCGATTTGGAATCGGATGTTCAAAACTCTTGCCTTAGATCCTTTCTTACCTGTGAGGCATTAGGCGAGCTAGGAACCCATAAAGTTGATTTCTGAGATTCCTCGCTCACATGATGAGGCCTTGCAAGAGGTGTGCACTCCTTTGCAAACCGAATAGCACGACAGCAGCGGCTGTGTCCGCAAGTGTCCTCTTTCTACTCCAAGCTCCGAGAGCGGCTTCACCTGAGACATCACCGAGGGGCCACACTGAAGTCTGGCCTGTCTCCTGCAGTCCAACCTGCTGGAAGCCACAATCTCGACTCTGCACATCAGAAGACTACATGCCCGTGCAATTACAAAGACCTGCGCGATACTTCTCTCCGTCAACTCGCCTCTGCTGCGGCTGGAAGAGTTGGCAATCAGCCCTGTGTCATTGCGATGTAGTCGTGCTCGCCGCCATAGAACGGATTGCATCGAACCTGAGTGCCTGGTCTGCAGTCCTTGAGCACCCCCAACAAAAACAACTGTCGAAGCCATGAACGGCAAGCCTTTGTTTCGAGCGTGATTCGCAACATTTCATAGTTTAAGGCTTGAAGCACAGGCTCTTGATGACAACGCCGCAACCTGGACGCCCAAACTCTGAACATCTTGACACAGGAGAACGTGCAAGACGAGTGAGCCGGCTTTGAGGAGGTTCCAAGGATTGTATTCGGCAGGCGGGTTGGGAACGGGACTGGCTGAAGATTGAATGTGAAGGTGCTGATGTTGCCGGTTTCGGACATGACTTGAAGCTTAAGAAGATCGAGAGCTGGGCTTAGCTTTCTGCAACTAAGAACTCTCTCCAAAAGCGTTACCTCATGTATGTATGTGCGCATTTATGTTTTGTGTGCAGCCTTGCTGGCGCATCGTCGCAACTTTGTGCCGTGAATCGCACACACCCCCGCCTCCTCCCCACACACATGAGAATGAGGCTGATGTGCTTCTTGCGTGCAAGCTCTTATGCTATTCTGGTCTAAGTTTCGGTTGGCTTCGTAGTCTGATCATGTGTTTGAATGACTTTCATGTGGGGCTCTTGAGCAAGGGACCGGAGAAGAGTGCGGTCGGAGATCATGATCACGATCTTCAGCATCATCATCATCATCATTATCACAATCATCACCACCGCCACCACCATCATCATCATGTTTAGCACGATCATCATCACCATCATTGGCTTTGGCGTTCAGGACCGGTCGGAGATCAATGGAACTTTACCACACCCTCGATATCGCAAACTGTCATGTAAAGGCAAATGCAGTACTCATTGCCTATCATATCGAAGCAACTATAAATGCCAGTGGGTTGACATTCAAATTTTATATCCGAATTCCTCGCACCTCCCACTATCTGATATGGGATTACATGTACTGTTATAGGCACTTCATAGCCAGAGACTCTAAACTCTCTATAACATGCGCCAGCTTGATATGGCTCAACATGTGAAATGTTGTGAACTCGTACACGTCGGTGGTACGAATTTTGTTGATGTGAAATCTCCTTGTCATACGGTGTTGTTTCAGCCATCGATGGCTTATTTTTACGACGTGTACTTCAACATGTCAAAGTTACTATATGCATTAAGTTTCTGATATCATGGGTCTCGTATATCATCATTTGGGCACGAGGTTCAAATCATGTGGTCCTTGGTTGGTCCCCGCCCCTACAAATCTGCCGCTAGCTTTGGCCGCAGGGGGGGGTGCGCCGAAAAAAAGACTTGCCGGAGGGGGGTGGAGGGGGGTGGGGTCGCCAAAACTTCTGGCTTGAAGAATTTCAATTTCTTTCTTGGCATCGCCCGGCCAGAGCTAGCAGCAGTAGTTTCGGGGCCGGGTTCCTCTACCTGGCAAGAACCAAGTGACTGAAGCCTCCTGCCGAAAAGCTAGTGTCATTAATTAATCTGAAACCCTTGAAACAAGACTGCTGCAAACACTGGGCCCGTAATGTGTTTTTTCATCAAGCATATTATATTGCACAGACCAGATTTGGTGTGTTCTATATATGCACTGTAGTACAACGTATTATACTACACTGTATCATTTTCTGTTCTAAGATGTTTTGTTATACGGTATTGTATTACATTATACTACATTGTATGCACTACATTGTAATGCTTCACATTATATTGGATTGCATTGTATTGAGTTGTATGATATTTTACGATATCATATCATGTGATATTATACTAATGCATGCTATTATCACAGTATATACATTACATTAAAAGGTACTATTCAGTGTGATCATCAAATCATAACTTAACATCTTCTGTTGTACTGCACTCAGCTATGTTGTGTTGGGTTGTATTGCATTATGTGGTATTGTGTTATGTTATATTGTAAAATGTATCATCCTGTATTGTTTTGTATTCCATCATGCTGCATTATACCACATCTTAGTATATTGCTTGAAGATGTTGTATCTTATATCACATGTTGTCATGTTACTGCATTGGCCTATATCCCTTTATATCGGTTTACAATCCCATTGTACTACATGTGTGGTGAGAAAATGCAGCAAAACATTGCATCGCTGCAGAGTTCGGTTTAGTAAGACCTTTGAGCGCTTCAAGGCTATGTTATAGTGTAACACGATGTCACGTTTAGCCAGATTGTAATCACTCTACACTGTTTAGTATTAAGAAGTATTGCCCTACATTAACCAAATTAACCACATGATTGTACATTCCACTGGATTATATTGTACCATGCTTCCGTTTACGTTATCTCAAGCACTGTTAAATACATTGTGTTATGTGATCTTGTTTTTCCATTGGGGACTGCAATTAGTTGTTGAGTCTTCTATACTGTATATTCCATAATCATAACGAGTAACAAACGCTGAGTAATGTACTCTATTCTTATATCATACTTTGACAAGGATTTTTCCTTCTGTTAAGTCTCCTTGTGTTGCATTACATACTACAAATTTAACGTATTATGTCAAATAATATTTGTTGTGTACCATGTATTCTATACTGAGACATGCTTTGCGCTTCAGTTTGCCCATCCACGGACTGACTTGCACGGACTGGTTGCATGTGTACCAGTTGTGCGTTGTATGAGTCATCTGCTTGTTCGCTTGCCCATGCAGTGTTGAAGCTCATTTCGTGCTTGCATACGGCAGTGACACCGATGATGATTACGATGATGAGTGACGCTGATGATGATGATGGTGATGATGATGATGATGGTGCTGATGATGGTGTTGATACTGATGATGATGATGATGATGGAGGTGGTGTCGGTGCTGTCGGCGGTGGTGCTGGTGAGTTAGTTTAGCGATTGTTAAGAAGACTTTGAGGAGTGTTATCGCCTTGAACGGATTCCCGTGAGGTGACCAGGAACGACACTCACACTGGAGCCAGAGGCAGAGGCTGCGGAAAAAAAGTCGAGGTACGTCACGCGTAAACATCAATCTCGCGGAAACGCGGGGCTGAACGTAGGTTGAGATTGTACTTCAGGGTTGGGCTGCCCGTCGAGTTGTATGGAAAAAAGCCCTTCCTGAATGCATGGTTCATTACTGACCTAGTTGCCGAAGTCGAGGGGCATTGCTGCCCCGAAGCGACGGAGGTCCACATCCTTAGCACCCAGCCTGCTCCAAACCAAATCCCCGATATATTTTGGGGAGGCTGACCTTGTTCCGCAGGAGCCTGGCATAGGGAGGTTGGTGCAGTTCGAGTAGCTTCTCCCTTTGATGGCAATGAGACAACATTGGCTACATGTCAGTCCGCCCCATCTTCCTGACGTATTCTCAAGCAACATGTAGCTGTGGTAGTGCCATACTGGAAGATTGACCAGAGCGGGCCACAAACGTGGTCAGCCGAGCCATGACGCAACAGTCCAGGCAGTCCAAGCGTGAGGACTTTCCATCCAGCGCAAGCGCAGAGGCATTCGCGTCGGCGATGCCTACTGCCAGCCTTGCCAGCATCGAACGCGTGAAATGTCTGGACGAGCATGAATTCCGGAAGCTCCTCCGTTCCCGCAGACTCAGCGAGAGCAGCGAGGAGAGTGATGGCATTCCCGTGGGCCGCCTCTGGGCCGTGGTGCCGGAGGACATCCGACCGAAGGAGGCGCTGCCGTGGATGATTGCGAGGACCCCCAAGCAGACACTGCTTCGCGGCCCCTCGGCAGAGCTGGTTCTTGAGTCAGTGGCTGGGGTGGGAGCGGGGTTCTGTAATTCAGGCTTACTCCCGCAGTCCGACACGGACGACCTGCAGCGACGATGTAAGATTGGTGTGTGGGAGAAGGCCTGGCTCGATTTCCTGTTTGGCTTGGCTACTTGAGTTCGGGTTGGGTTATGTCTGTCATGTCCCATGTCGAGCCCTCTGCAGGTGCAGGCTATGAAGGCTTGGGCTGCTTTGCAGCTCCGCAGAAAGAAGGCTAGCAAAGTCGATTCAATCCTGTGAGAATGAGGAGGTACAGGTAGCACTTGTTCACACCTGTCAGATCCCTTCGATGGTCGTTGAGTTGCAGATGCATTTTGGCGAAGTGTCGGTTTTCGGGATTCGGCATCCTACGTATGTCCCAATTCCAACTGTTCACCCTCCAGTCAGTGTACATAACATAATTGTAAGGAACTCATCGCCACAATGCACGCGCAAGTGTCCTTGGTCAGCGACTAAGCCGCTGATTTTCCCAAGGCTTGCGTTCTGATGGTCAAAACTGACCAGATCCGGCCCGAATGTTTAGTTCTTTCATTGGACCCAGCACGTTTGACCGTGCAGGTTCTATTTCAAGAGGTGATCCTTGCCTGATCACGATGTGTTCAACATACCTGGTGTTGGACTGCCCTTTCACTCCGCTTGGACACTGAAAGACTTCGGCTTAACTGCGCTTCAGATTTGGTGATGTATTTCTGTGGCCGCCGGTGCCATTTTCCGCAGAAAGTGTGAGGTACATACTCCATGGAGCGCAGCCGAGGAGGAAAATGTGCTGCGGAATCCATGGAGACCTCACACTAAGCACAGCATGAATTGGAAATCGAGCTTCAGCCACCAAGACATCCATCATCGACATCGTGATCATCAGCATGGTCAAGGCAAACACCTTCGCCATCATCATCATCATTATCATCATCACCATCCTGATCATCACCCTCTGCGGCAGCAGAAGAAGGAGAAACATCAATCGCTGTCATTCCTTTGTCATAAACATCATTATCCGTCGTGCACAGGTCTCGATGAATAAAGCAACCAGAATCCGTACGACATCCATAAGAACACGAGACAAGATACTTGCAATAAGCAGTAAAGCTCAGTAAAGGCTACAGCTACGACTTTGCCATTAGCGATCTTGAGATGTCCAGCGAAAGCCCAAGCCCGAAGCTCCAAGCTCGCTTCTCCGCCTTCGCCGAATCGGCTCAAAAAACGTTCGGCCTGCGATAGGGAACCCTCTCTTCGCAGGAGCCGGAGGACAAGGCAACCTTCGCTGCATTACTTCAGGGAGCGTTAAGGTCGAAGATTCTCCTTGACTAGGCGAAGGGCTGCTTCGGGGCAGCATTTGTTGGTTTGCGAGGATCGTGTGTGTCGTGTTCTTGCTTCCGCCTCTGCTGCTGCTGCTGGTGTTGTTGCTGGTGGTGGAGGTGCTGGTGCTGGTGCTGGTGCTGGTGCTGGTGCTGGTGCTGGTGCTGGTGCTGGTGCTGGTGCTGGTGCTGGTGCTGGTGCTGGTGCTGGTGCTGCTGTTGTTGGTGTTAGCAAGAAGTGATCATCCCCTCTCCCGATCTGCAGATTCAACATCAACACACCTCCTCTCATCATCCTCACAAAGACCTTGCACATCTTCAGGGTCTCATTACCACAGTCGTTGCCAAGAATGTAATAACCGCCTTCATCTCTGTCTTCAGACATCGGCATCATTAGAATCACCCGCACTATCTTGATTGGCGTCACGTTGCAATTATCACCATGGTCAGCAGTTTCATTATCTTGGTCATGACCATAGTCGATTTCGCATTGCTGTGCTGCTGTCCCGCTGGTCGTGAACCTACGATTCTACATAATATTCGCATGCACTGTCGTAAGGCTTCATCTGTGCAGCCACATTGATTCGAAGATCAGCTCTGGCATCAAGGACCATCGGCGGCATCAGCATCATCGCCGGCATAGTCGTCATCAGCTTGTCCTACAGAGTATCCTCTGAGCATCATCACCGCCACCAGCACGTCCAAATGCAAGCACACGCACCAGCAGCACAACGGCATCAGGAGCAATCGTGGTGGCAGACACCGTCACGGCTAATGTCACTGTCCGTCATCTGGCCCTCCCCCGGCACTGCTGATCATCATCATCATCACCACCACCGGCAGCATCATTGTTGTCTACTCGTGCCATCGTCGTCGTCGTGACCACTGGTTCCATCACGATCAGCATCGGTGACGGTTAGCAAGGCCCTCTTCTGCACCAGCAGCGTCGACGCTGACATGCTGCTCGCATCACTACCATGCCGAGCAACATCAGTGGTCTGCCCGTTGACACTATAGCACCGTAAGCCTTCATCGCACTGCTTCCACAAGTTCCGCGACAAGCTAGCCGAATCTTCACCCAAGAGCATCACAAGCATCATGGAAATATTTGAGTTATCGTCATCGAAATTTCGTTGGTATGCTGTCAGTCTACATGAGCTCATGAACTACGAACCATACTCGCAAGACGCAAGGACAGCAATATAGACATTCCTCTACTCAGGCTTATTGTGCGAGTAACATAATTTGGCAACAGCAATGTCCTCATCGATCACGACGGCACCAATACTTGTGCGCATCACGACAACCCGGCTGTTCCCGGTTCCTGGGAAGTTCCAGGCCTATCGTGCAGACATGGGCAAGGGAGAGAAGAAGGCCAAAGGCAGCTCCTCCAAGGACCTCAGAACCGGTTGGGATTGAAGGGCAGGGGGAAGGTGACCTGCAATGTTTAATAAGGACTTGCCCAATTTTTATGCGAGACCCGTGAAAATTAATGCAATCTGCAAAGTATACTAAGTGTTGTTGTTCGATTGTTTGCCTTTTGTCACCAGAAAATGTCAGAAAACCGGAAGAAACGTCGGCAGTAGATTTCTTTGGGCCTCCAAAAGCCCCGAGCAATCGAAGAAGCCCCTCTAAGAGCTTCAAAAGCCTCCTGGAAACTCTACAGGTGCTGAACCGTACTGACCTCTTGTGAACTTCCAGCAGCCCGGCCAGAAGAGAAAATAGCAGCTATGGGCACATGCTATTGAAAAGTGCTGCTGCAGCTGGGGACAACAGCAATTGCCGCGTCTCGCACAGGTCTATGAGTCTATCTATGGCTAACGCATTCTAAACGTTGTCGTCACCACGGCCACCACGGTGTTCCAAAATGTCTTGTCAGTTCTGGCATGATGCAATGGAGTCTTGTGGGCGGTGAGTGTTCGTCCTGCTAGGCACCTTCGGTAAGAGTAAGGTTGAACAGTTGATCCGAGATCGACAAACTAATGTCTTGCAGACTTCAATGTTTCTGGCGGCTGTTGGACCGGACAAGGGAAGCTCAAGTCATGGGAAGAAGTGCGATCACAAGCAGGAGCCAGCCACCCGCGACTACACCATCCACTTGCACAAGCACATGCAGAAGGCTGCCTCCTGGACGAGCTCACAATTATCATGCAATGTAAGCACCGCCACATCACACCAGCACACTCAACACATGTGAGGCCTGGAGGATATGCCAGGTGCAGCCCCGCGAAATGAATGTCATTTTTCACACAAGACTGACACTGGTAGTATTAGAGCACTCCCATCACACACGTGCTGTTTGCATAGTATCGTAAATATCTGTATACAACGCATATAAACAATCATGATGCATGTGTATATATATATATACAGAGATATAGTTCACCTGCATATATGCACATGCATACATGGGTATGTTTGCATGTGTGCTCATGTGCTCCCGTCCGTTTGGCTGCTGGCACTTGTAGACAGCATGTCAGCAAAACCGAGGGCTGTCACACGGATTCCCATCTGTCCATCTGTCTGTGTATACTATCTGTATGATATGCGTAAGTGTTTAGCTCTCTCTTTCTCCCTCCCTCTTTCTTTATGCATCTGTTCCTGCGTGCGCGCGTGCGAGCGAGCGTGCGCCTTGGTGTGTGCTTGTGTGTATTATATATATATATTTATTTATTTTTTTCATTTGTATTTATATTTATATATATATATACACATATATATATATGTATATGTACATATATATATATATAATATACATATATATATATTCATTCATTTATTTAGCCTTTTTTATTTACTTATTTATCTATTTACTTATCTATATGCATATATACATATACATATATATATATATAGCTATATATGTAGTGTATGTATGTGAGTGCGTTAGTGAGTGGGTCACTGTGTGTGTGTGTGTGTGTGTGGGTGTGCGTGTGTTTTTTGTTTTCCGCATCCGTGCGTGTGTCTGTGCGGGTATGGATGTCAAAGTCTGTGCACCGGTAGGTAGAATAGATAGACACAAATGGAGGTAGAAATACAGATATAGATATCGATATACATATATATATATATACATATATAGGCATGGCTAAGACACAAGCATAGATCCAGACATAAACATATACAGTATCATATATATATATGTAGATATAGACAGACATACATGGGTATATATGCGCGATAGAAAGATGGATAGATGGAACGTTACAGATGGACAGGTAGATCCATCGGCACAGTATGCGTGCGTGCGTGCGTGGGTGGGTGGGTGGGCGGGCGGGCGGTGCGTGGGTGCATGGGTGTGTGGGTGTGTGGGTGTGTGGGTGTGGGTGGGTGGATGTGTGTGTGTGTGTGCGCGCGGGTGTGTGTCTGTGTGTGTGTGTGTATGTATGTGTGTGTGTGCGCGCGCGCGTGTCTGTCTGTTTGCCTGTCTGTGTGTGTGCACCTGTGCACGGACATGAATTTCAAAGTGCGTGCATAGGTAGATGACATAAAAACAGATATACATATGAAGACATCGCTTTAGGCACATACACAGATACTGATGTAGATGCAGATACAGATATAGGTAGATACAGATAGAGACACAGATATAGTTCGATACAGACATATAGGCATAGATATGGTTATAGACACATACACAGGGACATCGATGTGCGATAGATAGATAGATAGATAGATAGGTAGCTATAGATAGATAGATGCTAGAATGTTACAGATATGATATAGACAGACAGGTAGATCGATCGGTACTGCATGTGTCTGTGTCTGTGGAGTGGATTAGTGTTTGCAAGAGCTTTGCCTGGCTTTAAGCTCAGGCAGCTCTGTTGAGATAGTTCGTCAGAGGTGCCGTGTTAGAGCACAGAGGCGGAGATAGTTGGAGGCTCAGTTTAAGGTTTATGGTCGTTCGGTAGAGCCGCGCGGCTGTGCATACGCTCATGACAATTGCTTCTGCACCTGATGAAGATGCCGCTGCTGAACCGGGGTAAATTGGAGGGAGTCCATTGGAGAGAACTGTCTTCCAGTGGATACAATTCCGACCTGAAGATTGCATGCAGTCTAAAGTTATAGAACCGGACTGCATATAAGCAACATGGGAAAGAAGTGGGATTTCGGACAAGGCGTGCATGCACCTCCATGGAATCTTCAAATTTATGATTTATCGCAGCTCCAGTCAGAACCAAACCTCTCGCAGATCTCCTTCAAGAAGCGTGCCCCTCGAGCTGTACGGGTGGTTCGCCAGTTTGCCAACAAGGTGATGATGACCAAGGATGTCTGCCGGCTGCATTACCCTGAAAATCTAGAACCCTTCAAGATGGCCGGAAGTGCAGTGCTTCACAATAGCACACCTCCCTAACCTCTAATCTGGGGGTTGGAAGTACATCTCCGGCTGTTCCTATGGGCCCAGTAGGGATCCCGGTACATGTGTTTTCCGTGGGACATTCCAGCTGAGATGATGTACTTGGGGGGCTTCGGTCATGGACCCCTGAGCAACGCACAGCAACGAACTATGTACTTAAAGAATTGGACCCCCCAAGTCTTAGTCTTCATAAGGTTGGAAGGACTCGCAGCCCATTGGCAGCTCTGACAGTGCCTGCTTCACCACCATCGCGTTACGGGGATAGACGTGCACAAGCAGTTGTACTGATGCCGGCAGTCCAGAACCCAGACAGCTGGCAGGTCAACAGTTGCAGTGTACCGACCGTTTGCGCCCGAGGTTCGCATCGACACCAAGCTCAACAAATTCCTGTATCCTGGCGGCGCATCAGGATTCTAAGCAGGCTTTAACCTTCGGAGTAACCATAGCAAGGCCCTGCCTGATTGCTTATGCGTGCATCGTGCGCTTCAGCTATTGTTTTGCGTGTCTGCGTCTGGCCATCTTGCTGCAAACGTATACAAGCCCATATACACGTACATGACTTATGCTGCATATGTAAATATGTAAGCTACCGCCGGATCAGTGACGAGAGATTTGTAAATAACACGACCCTCGACGATGGTGGCGTAGCAGTACCAGGCGACGAGCCCCGACAATCAAATTGCCGAGGATGCAGTTGCGATCAGTTATTCTCACTTGCACATGATGTTTATGCAGCACACCCCAAGCACAGGTTGATAGCCAATACAAAACTTACACATAAGCGAGTCTTGAAGTTGCACCTCGCATGATGCTAGTTGCAGTCGTGACTACTTGCAATCTAACCTACGTGTTCTCTTGCAATAATCATCCTGCAATGTCCCCGTATCTATTTTGCAAAATGCGCTTCCTACTGTATTTCGAACCCAAGACCTGCAAACATTGCGTCGAGAAGACAGACCCCTGCAAAAGGCAACATAATGTATGTGACCTCTGCGAATACACAGGCCACGGCAATCTGTACTGTCCATACTGCAACCGTTACGATGATGTCCAGTCCATTGGGATGCTGTCTACAACAAGCTATGCATCTTCTTTTTCTTCGTTGGGCCACCAGCTTGCGTCCTCCAGTCCTATTTAATGCTTGTAATGCCACTCCACTATGCTGTGCGACCGAGAAGCCGGTGCTGGCAGTCTCACAAGTAACCGCTTCTGTGACAGCAAAGTTCCGGCCAGGAAATTGTCTTGTCCGTTCCACAAGCAGCAACACTGGCATTGCGGTTTCGGGATCGCTGCCGACAAGCCAACCGCCGCGTTGTGGTCCTAATCGTTCGCAACAGTCTAGCCGACTGATGAGTAGTCACCAGATGATTTTGTTTCGGAGGCGAACGAACTGACAACATTTGACCCAGAATTGTAAGGCCCAGTATCTGGAAACAGGCGCTCGGAGGTCGGATATCTGAGTATGTTCGCTATCCAACCGACGGCTCAAGTTGAAATCAGGAATCGAATTTCAGTTGGTTTGGACTGAAGACGGTTCAGAGGAAGAGCAATCACCTTAAGGGTGATTCTTCGGGAATCGCACAACAAACTGCACGAAGCAACATCCAACGTAGGGCTGTTCCAAAAGTTCATCATCGACTGCGCAGTTGTGTTTGTCTCACCGACACGCTGTTTGAGAACCGAACGTATCTTTTGATGGAAAGCACGACGAAGGCAAATCGATGCTTGGGTTCTGCTACAATTTCGCGAGGCCAAAAGGTTAGCTCTAGAAAAGTCGAACACTCATGCATTATGCAAAATTGCCTTGTTGTAGGTTTCATATGCATCAACATCCTCTCACCAGCTCACTAATTTCATGCTGTTCAAACAGACACTCAGTGCGAGGCCTCGTTTGCAATGAAGCTATTTCATGTAAGGGGACCACCCCGTCCTTCTTAATTTCCGCACAGTTTTACTTTTGATTTGCACGCAAAGAGTATATAGCTGCAACATGGTGGAATTCCACACAGAGAGGAGTATGAAGCTTGTCTCTGTTCTCTGGGTACAGCAGTGGCGCGTTAAACGTATTTATTCCAATATCAAAACAACACAAATACCTTGCATGACACCTTCTGGCAAGTCTGAGCTTTGGGCATAGTCACAAAGTTCCTTGGCTTCTTCATCCCTATTCTGGGAGACTTTGCGGAGAGTCGACAGCTGTCTGTTCTGGGCCGAAATGAACATTCACGAATATTGCTCCTTCATCGAAACACTTGGAGCTGATGCTGATCACTATGTAGATGGTCGTAAAGAGAGGAGTCTGGATGTTCTGCAAATGGTTCCGAAAAGTGCCACAGAAGTGTAGGCAAGGCATGTTTCACAGAAGGCGAGCGAGGGCGAAAAGCCCAGCTCCAGGGAACCGCAAACTCCAAGCACCCCACATTCAATATCCCGAATCCCCCGGAATCCCTTGTTCTGCCGGTTCAAATGACCCCTGCGAAACATGAAGCTCTGAGCAAAGCCCAAATCAACAAAGCCCTTCAGTCAAGGCCGAGGCTCCAGCCTCGAAGCCCTGAACTGCGACGAAGCCGACGATCCCAAGTCCAGCGCAAAGCTAGACTCCCGCAGAACCGCTATCCAGGTGGAGCAACGGCATCCGCAACGTCCCTCGCCGTGTCCGCGTCAGGCTCTCGCGAAAACGCAGCGAGGATCCTCGGCGAGGGAAGCTCTCAGTTTGTCAGCTCGCTGCAGCTCTTCGCTCGCCTTGCTTCAACTATGACTGCAAGCAACAGTATTCGACGCAAGTAACTGGCAATATTGTTACGATTACCATTCGGTTTTAAACAGGTAGCTAGGGTCTGGATGAAGATGGATGAGTTTTGGATCTATAATGATCGTTACAGCTCAGACGCATACTGTGTACTCCTGTAGTAAGTACCGGTTGTCGGATTCAGAGTCCAGGGGCTGCGGGGGTCAAACTTTCGGCTAACAAAGCCGGAAGCTTTACATCCACTCTAGCAGCTCTCGAGTTCCTTACTACAAGAGATGTAGGTTTGGGCAGGTAGGTTGAAACTATCGGATGCCCCACGCAGGACGAGGATGCGAAGGAGAAGATCCCTTGGCTGCATTCATCAGAGTTCTCAGAGTGTCACGAGAATTGACACGGGAACTGCAACATGGAGTTCGCACATCGTGAGCCCGGCAGGCTTCAAGAAAGAAACGAACCTACCTCTCACACAAGGACAGCGTAGCCGGTCCCCTTCGTTTTCGTTTTCTCATTTGGACAAGTGCAGCATCCTGGTCAGGGGCTTCGTGGTTCAAGCCCTGCAACAAGTCCCATGTGAGTGAAGCTCAAAGCACAAGGTCTTTTCGTTTCGAAGCAACCAAAGCGAGGTACAATCGTGCTCCTTGTAAGGGCATCGAGAAGTGGTCGCTCTCGCACATGCACAGACTTTGGGCACATATCTTGCGGCTCATCATGACTGCGTCATGTTGTGGAATATCTGGCAATTGTTTTGCAAAAGCTTCATGCCCTTTGCAGCAAGCTTCAGTGAGATCAAACTCCTGGACAGATCGTCGTCGCGTCAGGGCATAGGCCTGTCGGCCAACACTTTCCCACAACACACGTGCCGACACTCTAAGGTGAGGTTTTGTCATTCAGGGAACCTGTGCTTCCTGTAGTGGTTCGGTTGAGTTTCTCAGCCTCCGTTCTCTTTCGGCATGTCATCCATGCAAGAGCTCTGTGCAGACAAAACTCCTAGGATGTTCACCCTGGTCCAACACGTTCCCGTGGAAAGCTTCAAGGGGCTGCAGACAGAGAATGTCAGGCCCGTCGCAAAATCAGTGCAATTGCATGTCCTATAGTCCATCGATATACTGTTCGGATAATGGTGATGATGTACAAAGGTGGTGATATTTCTCAATGTTGTCGTGCAGTCAGTCACTATCTTTCTTCAGGACATATTCTATCAATCATATCATCATCCATCATTAGTGCCAGTTTTTTTTGTGCTGTTCCGTTTGGAGACTTCCCGGTAACGAAGTTTCGCATTTGACAGCCTCTTTCCCATCTCATATGTGGCTAGCAAGCGGGTTTGTCGAGCTTCGTAGGCTCCTTGGGCGCAAAAAGCTGGGAAGTGTCTCTTCTGTCAAGCAGCTCTCAACGCCTTTGACAAGAGGCTGACAGTACTATGGCAACCATAGCTACTTGGACATGTCGCAAGGTCTACATGCATGTGCTTGCGGAGGGTGTAAGCGATATGCAAATGCGCACAAATGCAGGGGTGGAGGGAGGTATGGGAAGGGGGAGAAAGTGCTATGTTCGTACACATCATGTTTAACTTCGACCCCGGCCAGGGATGAGTGAACCTGCCAGCTCACGGCAGCAGCTCTTGCGAAAGCGGAGAGAAAACTCAGCGCACAGTGCTTCAGATTCGGTTTTGATGGTTCAGAGGCTGAGCCACGTGCTTGCTCCGCTGCAAAGCTTGAGGTATGTTCGACGCATTTCCTGTTTGCAACAAGGAGGGACAGCTGTCAGTTTGCTGTCTGGGCATCAATCTCTGCAGACGTCGAAGCTGACTCCTCCCACTTCAACCAGTGTCGTGAAGGTTCCGAAACCCTACTTGTAGCATGTTTTCATCGTAGCTGCACAGTTGACAACGCCTAACTTGCTGAAGAACCCCGAAACCTGTGTCGCAGCCCCCACGGCCATTCAGAACTAAGTGCATGTGAGTTTTCTCCTGACGCACATGCGTGCAAGAGACCTCTAATTTCCCACGCAGGGCAAAGAGGCGACCATCCCAACAGAACTACTAAAACCGTGACGTTGGCTGCAGAGTTTCTTTCTGCTTCTAGCTGTTTTGGAAGTGTGGCAGATCAACAAATCGGGTCGGGTTGCCTACTGTATGGGCTGCATCTTGCATCACCAGGACAGCATGCCAAATAGGGAGGTCGTGCTGATGCATGGCGCTAGAGCCGAGCCAGCCTTGAGCAATGTCTAGCAGTCTGTTAGTAACTCCCATAATTTCCCTTCCGAACGGGTGGGCTTCTAAATCTGGGCTCTTCCTCACTCCCAGCAAGAACTTATAAGGATGCAAGGTTAAAGGCAAGGGGCAGCAAAAGAAAATTCAGACATCCAGTTGGAGGAGATTTCCGGTGAGGTTTGGGTCTCGGCTACCTCAGCAATGCCTGGACATAATTTGGGTGCCGTGTTTAGGGGGTCAATGAGGGGTGAGGACTATCTGGGCTTGATTAAAGTTTTCCACCGGACGATTTCTCACACACATCGACGACCTCTCATCCCAGGCGCTTCGACGCCATCGTGGGTAAGGCCCGAACTCCCAGCTGTCAGTTTCTCCCGCAGTTCTTACGTCCTGAATTGTCACTGTTACGGCGGCAGTTTTTTTGCTTGTGGCTGCGTTGCCTGCAGCTGGAATTGTGAAACACTTCCTTCATGTGAGGGCGGACTGCAGCCTTAGGGTTTTTTGCCGGCTCGGCCGAGGACACAGCGAACGCAAGATGCTTCGACTGCGGTGCCAACGACCACGAGGTGCACAACAAGATATCATGTCTTTCAAACTGGCTTCTGAGTCCTTGCCCAGTCTCATGTAATCTTTCGGCTTTCGGTCGCGGCAGTCTCAGAATGGGCCGTTGTTGACGACCGTCGGAGAGTGACATGCTGAAGCCACATGGGCAAGGCACAGGGTGGTGGAATCAAGCTGTGTCCATGCACACCCAGGCATTATTATCGTCTTGTTCAAGTCCCGCTCCATTTTGAGCATACCGCTTCGGTGGAGTTTCATGTCCATGTCATGCGCTTGTGAAAGCGCTTTCGAAGCACAAGTGCAGAAGCATTTCAGGAATAACGTCTCATCCGAATGGGCACTTATTAGGCCGGCAGTCTCGAGGGCGGAAGTCTGCCAAACTGTGATGGCGATGCCAGAGACTCATTGCGGCGCTTGGTGCACGAAGCTATTTAGGCTTTTGGTTTGTGGATGCCCGTAGCAGCAACAGGAGGAGCAGCAAGGCATACACTTCCAGTCTGAGCAGAAGGGTAAGCATCTTACTGATGAATTACGATTAAGGAACGACCATCAGAATCATCAGCACTTGGCTTGGCCGCTTTCCTCCCATGGGCCAAGCGAAAAGCACGGGCTGCTTCCGCGACTGTCCTGGCCTCGGCACGGAAGACAGACGTACGCTCGGATGCTGTCGGGGGTCTCTTGTGACTTCCACAATTCTTGCGGCCTAGCGGCATAACATAGAGAAGTTTTGATACGTTCGCAATCCGAGACCTTGTCTGTTGCTTGCAGTGTAGGTCACACACTGAGTCTGTAGTAACACTTCGACTGCACCCCTGCACCATGCACTCTAGATCTGGTGGCAGCTTCGAGTCGATGCGTTTGAATAATCCACGTGGTTTCGGGTCCGGCTTCGAGGAAAAGAGACCCGAAAAGCTGACTTGTGTGGTGAACAGGGATCATACACATGAGCACGAGTGTTCAGGTTCAATCTCGCCTCAGAGTCACTGGAATCCTTCGACAAGGGAATAATTAAAGCAGCATCTTCAATCTAGAAGCAGCTAATTACCGCAGTTAAAAGAGACCCTGCTGCTCCGCGCAGCATTGCAGCGTCAAGCCGCGATGCTCAACAACGAAGCGGACCGACTCGTTCGGCAAGAAGATAGGCTTCCAACATGTTTAGGCCGCCACGAAAGGTGCAGCCTTTGCCATTATGATTCAAAGTGAGCGCAGCCGATTGCGAGGCACTGCAGCCAAAGGTGCTGGGTGCTTGGATGCCGCGGGGTCAGAGGCAGGTTCACGGGGGACATGGCTCGTGGTTTCTGGGCCTAGAGCCTTGAGAAATTAGTGCGGCTTCTCAGGCTGCTGCTTAGAAGGCATCCTACCGGAGTTCAGCACATTCTTTTTTGGGATAGGTCGACTCGGTATGCTACAATGTTGCTCAAGAGTTGCTACGCTGGTCAGATGCGGGGAACAACTAACGGTGCTGTGCCTGATGGTTCCTGTGCTTGCAGACTCTGGATGTAAGTGAGTTGGGGCAGGTCGTGCTTCCTGCCAGCTAATGGTTTCCTAGACCTAGACGGCCCGCTGAGTTGGCAGACGGAACCCCGAACCTTTCACAGCAGTCTGCGAGCGAGCGAGCGAGCGCGAGAGAGAGAGAGAGAGAGAGAGAGAGAGAGCGAGAGAGAGCCAGGTATTTCCTTGTTTATGTGCTTAGATGGGTATGTCTATGCCTAAATAATCCCAATGTGTAGCGCAGCTTAGGACTCCATTATTGGCCTCAATGGCACCTGCGGGCCGATTAGCCAGCTCCTGCGAGTGAAGATGTCCTCCCTTCCTGCGGCACGGATCGCAAGGGATTCGGGTTGAGAGGTGAGGGCAAGTCCTCGGGTTTCAGTCGTAGAGTGCAGGAAAACGTATCGCCTGGCCGATGTTCCGGCTTGTAGAATGCAGTGATGCGAGTTCACCTCTCTGCTCCTATGTTGTGTTTGCGCATGCTGCTGCTGCTGCCCGTGGTCCTGCTGCTGCGACTGCTACTGCTACTATTGTCTGCTGCTGCTGCTACTACCTCGACGACGACGACTACTGCTACTGCTACCACTTCCTACCAGCACCGCCAACACTACTACCACGACTACTTTACGACGACGATTTCGACCTGCTGCTGCTGCTACGACGAGGACGACTGCCACCAGCACCGTTTGTTCCACGTTTTGGTACTGCTATGTAGCTAAATCCAGCTGCTCGCGGGGATGCGGGCAGCAGCAACTCTCACTACTGCTCTTCGTTGGTGGTAGCTGTATAGATTGCAATGGCATCCGTTGCCGGAATAACAACATGTACCACCCACAGACATGAGAAAAAAGAGCAGAAGGTCACCCTAACCCCCCAGGTACCTACTATCTAGCATTTTAGGGGCTCTAGTACCCTATATAGTAGGTACCTGGGGGATTAGGGTAAGCCCAGCAAGGCAGAGCCAGTTGCAGCTGCTCCGCGGCTGATGCTCGGCATCCTTCGGCCCGACCGCCGGAAGGTCCCTTGCTTTCCCGAGTTCTCGCGGTGGGCTTCGGTTTTAGGGTTTAGGGTTTTCGGGTTTTGGGTTTTAGGGTTTTAGGGTTTTGGGTTTTCGGGTTTTGGGTTTTAGGGTTTTAGGGTTTAGGGTGTGAATTGCCGGTAGCAAGCAGAGCCTGCTAAGTTCGTAGGAGAAGGGTCAATCCCAAAGCTTGCAACCCAAGGCAACGTCAAGCTTTGCTTGATAATCCGACGGAGCCAAACCATGGACCCCAATTCCACCCGAAAGCTCGGATGCGCTAATACCCCGATGCCATATTATGGCGGCATTGATAGTAAAAGACGAGAACATGCTACCATAAGGAAGAGTCATGCTATTTTGCCAGGCTTCTACATTCATTATACGGTTTCACCAGTTATGCCTTAGATGGCCAATGGCCAAGGTGCGCTTGGTAAAGCCAGGAGAGCTGGGCGTGCAGCTGAAGCCTCCTGGTCTCGGAGATTGTTCCCGTGAAGCCCGGGGGAAGAAATCTACCCTAAGGGTCCAAGTACCTAATAATCATATACTGCAACCAAAGTACCTTATTCTTGGGTCCTTCGGACCCTTAGGGCTAGGGACCCCAGATACAAAGCCCGAAGCGCGCGAGCGCAAGCCATGTAGACCCTCAGAAGACCCAGCTTCCATAGCTCCTCTGTTCAGGGCCGGCCTGTGATTGTATACGGGTTGTCGGGATTTCTTGAAGGAAGGAACGGCGGAAGGAAGAGAGCAGAGTCGTGTAACCCAAGACCCGATGCTTGTCAAAAGTTAGCAGTGGTGGGTAGCCTTGCGAAGGTGGTCCCCGCCCTAGCAGCTTGATGTTGGGGGTTTGCAGGGTTTTGTAGGTTACACGGTTCTGCATCAGGCCAGCATTTTGTACTGGAGGAATGCCTGGGTTTAACGCCAAGTGCCCCAACGCCTGAGCTTATCAGGTCTGGGGTTCGGGGGGCGGGGGGGGGGAGGGTCTTTTCAGCTCCTTCGTGTTCCACAGAACCGAGTCCTCCACCCCAAGGCTCCGATGCTTTGCAGAGCCAAGGTACACCAACTCCTCCACCGGCATTGTTGTAAGCCACATCAGTGAGCATGGATTGATTGCAGACTGGAATGCATCGCATCCCGACACTTCCGTGTGCCCGGGCGATCGCATCATCGAAGCTTGGGGCTGACTTTATCGTGCAAGAAATTGACATGCATGCTCATCGTATATGTGAGGACTATGGATATGTGCACCAAATTATATATATATATACATACATACACATCTGTACATGGACATTCACATCTTCATAAAATCACGGCATGGCGCCTACACGCCCGGTGGAAAGACTAGGGTAAGTCTATGTCTTCGCCTCCAATACACTGGCTTTAGCCGTTGCATCTACTTGATTATACTCATTGCGAGGCACTAGATAAAGAGCGCACCCACCGCCGTGGATAAGATAAAGGACTGGTTCTGCCAAGAGTCGTTCTACGCTTCGTTTCCCAATGACGGATCCTCACACGTAGCATGCTTCTCCATAGTTGGATAGCCTTGACACTAGACCAGCTGTAGGATAGTACTCTGAAAGTGCATGTCTCATCGGGGAAATATGCACTAATTAAGAGTTGTGTGGACTTTGAGTGACAGTGAGGAAATCAATGGACGAGTGCTCAATGGACGAGAGATGTTGGAGCACATTCGCCGAGAGGTGGAACTGGAGATGACGGTGCTCCACTACCCCGATACAGACTCTCCTCTCAGACTGTTGAGGTTGTGGATCTTAGTATTCTTGACGAAAACAGGGGACCCTAATAGAGTACCCTAAACAGTAGGATCCTTATTATAAGGAAACCACAATAAGGTACCCTAATTTTCGGGGTCAAGCCACTGAGTCGAGCCTCTGTTTGGTACCTGGCTCCAAGGCTTCTTTTAGCGTTTTGACTTGATTCGTTGCCTTGTGTGGCCCGCCTTTTCTGCAAGCCAGTAAAGACACCCTTCTTGAGCAAAGTACAGTCCCGTGCATATATTTGGACTCGTACTGAAGCTACAGGCGTGAAACTTGAAGTCCGAACATGAAGTTAACAAAGCACGGATAGCGTTATCACTGCAGAGCTGCCAGGATCGGAGCAGTCTGGAGTTGTCCCGATTTCAGCGCTTGAAGCCGACCCACACTTGCAATTGGTGCTTTTCAATTTTGCTGCAGCGTTCGTCGTCGTTGGGGTTATTGCTGCTGCTGCTGCTGCTGCTGCTGCCGTTCTGACTATGTAAGAGGAAACACCTTGGGACTACGAGATATTAGGAGTCATGGGATCCGATCATCGCGGCTCCTAAAGGCCTCGGATACACCCAAGGGCTTGTATGATCATCGTTCTATTACCGCCTTGAGGTGACGGGTGCAGCGGGTGGTCCGGGCTGAATCTGGCTCTTGGGTTTTCCTGCTGCAGCTGAGATACTTGGATATAGGAACCTACTCGGATTCCGACTGTCCACCGAGATTTTCTGGCACTCATTGCAAGTGCATAAACAGTAGGACCATGGCATGGATCTAGAGTCGCTTGCCAGAAAACAATGAGAGGTCGTTGCTGCATGTGATTTTCAAGCATGGTGTCGTAGTTGTTCGCAGTCGCCGAGATTGTCTGGGCATTCCGTCACCACACCAACCCTATTCTCACCTGCATAGTAAGCAGCCCGGTGCTATCCGTTACTATCTAAATCAGAGCCGGATGCCAAGACCTCTCCGTGCCCTCCGCAAAGCGGATGAAGCGTAGCTGGCATGCAAGCCGCCAAATCGACCAAAACGCCCCGCCTCGGTGTTGCACCCGATGACCCCATCAAGAGACTTCTGCATGTATGTATATATATATAGATACATACATACACATACATACCATGGAAAGCCATATACTCTGCACCTTGAGTGCCTATAACATCCAGCATCGAAGAGGCCATGTATTTGCAATGCCCTCAGGCCTAAACCCTCAAGGATCCCCGCTTGTATGTCCGAGCGTGAGAGCATAAATATTCCTGTGCTCCCCGCACGGTCAGTCACGAACCTGCTTGGAGGTTCATGGGTAGATATAACTGGGGTTATAATTAGGGTAACTATACTTATACGTTATATTAGGGGACTTATAACCCTACTTATAACTACCCATGAACCTCCAAGTATTCCATAAGCTGCAAGATTCTCATAAGATCTGAGGAGTTTAGGGGTTCTGCCAGGAGTTCCCGAGTGCAGTGCATGGAGCAGTTTGAAATGGGAATCCCCTTGCGATAAATAACTAAATGAACACATGAATCAGTATACATATCAATACAGATACAAACATGCTTAAATGAATACATACATCTATACACACACTCACACACATATATATATATATATGTATTGTATATACACATTCTGTTTTACATGATACTCTCATCCAAGGCCTTATTCTAATCATGAAGGGAAAAACATCGTGTCCACACTGTCACACCTATCACCATACCAGTCGCAGGCGGCAAAGTTCGGGAGGAGTTCCATGAGGTCGGCTGTGATCAGGTTTTGGTGTCCCTCTAAGGGCATTTCAATGGCTCTGCAGGGCAATAGTTCAACCATTGGAGGTGTCTGAGGCTTCCAGTGGGCGATGATGCCTAATGCCTTCACCCATCTTTACAAACTCGTGCAAGAACTTGCATGCAGCCTTTCGCCCCACGATCGGTGTTTTGCTCGGATCTTCGTTGTTATTGTGCCGAGAACAGCCCGGCCCTAAACCCAAACCTTTAAGAACAAAGCCCTGCGCCACAGCCTGGGCTGTCGCTTTCCAAGACATCAATGGCTTCGAATGATGTAAAACGTGAGAGTCTAAGGGTTTAGTCAGACCACAAGCACTTGCTGCTTGATCCAGAAGGCTAGCCTCCCAACCCGTAGACACCGAGCCGAATCTGGCCACAGACAACCCTGAGCCCTGGTGAGTCTCCGAGCCCCTACACAAAGCCTGCACCCTAACCACTCCCTAAACCCTAAAGCCGAAGCCTATCAGGTCTCTGTTTCTAGGTTCTTAGTACCCCTCCCTAAACCCTAAAGCCGAATCTTTTATCAGGTTTCTACGCTCTGAGTGCTCTGAAGCCGGCAAGGCACGGAGGCTCCGCCTGCAGCGGCGGCGAGCCACAGCAGGCGGCACGCAGGCGGTGTGTCAAGGCTGGCGCTCGTTTTGGGCCTAGGGCGGTTTAGGGTTTAGAGTTTTAGGGTTTAAACATTATAGATTAGGGTCTGCCTCTATCGTTAACAGGCACCCCGTCTTTAGAGGCCACGTGTCATCGTAAGCAACCCCTTAATTGAGCTGTCCCCGAACTGTAACACACCCTTAGCCTAGCCCTTAAAGCAACCCTTAACCTGGCCCCGGCCATCGTAACCAACCCCTTAATTGAGCCGTCCCAGAACCGAAAACACACCCTTAGCTTGGCCCTTAAAGCAACCCTTAACCTGGCCGCGGCAATCGTAACCAACCCCTTAATGGAGCCCAGAACCGAAAACGCACCCTTAGCTTGGCCCTTAAAGCAACCCTTAACCTGGCCCCGGCCATCGTAACCAACCCCTTAATTGAGCCGTCCCAGAACCGAAAACACACCCTTAGCTTGGCCCTTAAAGCAAGCCTTAACCTGGCCCCGGCCATCGTAACCAACCCCTTAATTGAGCCGTCCCCGAACCGTAAACGCACCCTTAGCTTGGCCCTTAAAGCAACCCTTAACCTGGCCACGTGTCATCGTAAGCAACCCCGTAATTGAGCCGTCCCCCAACCGTAAACACACCCTTAGCTTAGCCCTTAAAGCAACCCTTAACCCAGCAACAGCAACAGCAACAGCAACAACGACAACAACAACAACAACAAACCCCAGCATCCAAGCCTGGGATAAACACACCCTTAGCTGGAGCTAAGAGTGTGTCTATCCGGGCCGGGAATAAGGGGGGTGCTAAGAGCCCACCTTTTGGGAAGGGGTAAGCACACCCTTACAGGGCAGGGGATAAACACACCCTTAGCTGGAGCTAAGGGTGTGTTTATCCGGGCCGGAATAAGGGGATGCTGAAGAGCCCACCTTTGGGGAAAGGGGTAAGCACACCCTTACCGGGCCCGGGATAAACACACCCTTAGCTGGAGCTGAGGGTGTGCTTATCCGGGCCGGGAATAAGGGGGTGCTAACGGGCCCACCTTCGGGGAAAGGGGTAAGCACACCCTTACCGGGCCCGGGACAAACACACCCTTGGCTGGAGCTAAGGGTGTGTTATCCGGGCCGGGAATAAGGGGGTGCTAACGAGTCCACCTGCGGGGAAAGGGGTAAGCACACCCTTACCGGGCCCGGGTCAAACCTTAAGGGGTGCTTTAAGGTGTTCTTGCGGGTGGCTTTACGGGTCCTCAAGGGTGCTTTAAGGGTGTGTTTAAGGGTTCTTAAGGGTGCGCTTAAGGGCTCTTAAGGGTGTGTTTAAGGGTTCTTAAGGGTGTGTTTAAGCGCATGTTTAAGGGTGCTTAAGGGTGTGCTTAAGGGTGTGTTTACGGGTTCTTAAGGGTGTGTTTAAGCGCGTGTTTAAGTGTGCTTAAAGGTGTGTTTAAGTGTTCTTAAGGGTGTGTTTAAGGGTGCTTAAGGGTGTGCTTAAGGGTGTGTTTAAGGGTTCTTAAGTTCTTAAGGGTGTGTTTAAGCGCGTGTTTAAGGGTGCTTAAGGGTGTGTTTCAGGGTGTGTTTAAGGGTTCCGCAGGGTGTGTTTATAGACCCCGGGACCCTCTAAAGAGTTAATGTTAGAGGCAACCCTTAAATTATAGAGTTCTAGTTGCCTAGGGTTTAGGGCTCAAGTTTTAAAGTTTTGACGTTTAGGCAGGTCAGGTTTTCTGTGCCGAGTGTTGGGGCTAGCCAGATGCATGATTTGGGTCTTCGGGTCTCAGGTTTGACTGCATTAGCTAGGGCCGTAGACCGGGTCATTCCCACTAAAGCTGTCGAACAGCTAACTTCAAGGTGGAGTACTTGCCAACATTACAGGTGGGACAAAAAGGGCAGCAACCCAGCAGTTGCACCATGGATTATACTGAACTATACTAGCATTAGGTTTGCATATTATGCTTCCGCCTGGCATTCTGCTTCTCGCCGTTTCCACCCTATCGACCTTCTGTCTTGCGATACCCCACACCCCACGTGACCGCAGATGCAACCACGAGCAGCAGAGTCGTGCCTGCATCGCGCGCCATCGGCAGCCAATTAGAAGAGGCAGGAGCCGATATTCAGCAATATACCATCATGTACTCGAGTTTACCGGCTCAGAGCCAGCGCTTGCATCGAATTGTTTGCCGATGCCCGCATCGAGCACCAGCAGCACAAAGATGTATGACTTGCAGACTTGAACTCTTGCCATCCAGCTAACTAGCCTACTGATTGGGATGTGTGGGTGAGTAATAATCTTAAGAGGGCTTTAGCAGACGGTTTGACAAGCGGTGACATTCCAGGTTACAGTCGGTCCCATTACATAACAAGTACACATCTAAGCGAATCTCAGCATCGCAGATTCTTCCGTCGATCCCATGCTCTCGCAGGAAGACTCTTCGATTCTGCCGCTGACGATTCGGGAACCGACTCGCCCGAACAGGTTGCGGCTAAGAGCACCTCCGGCACTAGCAGGAACTTGCAAACATCTACCGGAGCAACAGCAATAAAGGCCTCCACCAACCCAAAACGAACCAAACTAGGGGCCCACGCCCCTAAGCCGTCGTCCGTACTTCCCATGGCAAGAGGCTATATTCAGCCGGCCCATGGAAATGCTCCTGCGATCCACACGACTTGTTAGCTCCTCTGGCAATGCAGAGGCCGGAGATGCAATGGCCCTGCACCGCGCCGAGGCCCTGCCATGATACCCGAAGACCTCCCTGACTCGGTGTAGGAATGTAGTAAGGATCAAACCAGGGCTGGGTCCTCCAAGATGGCTCTGTCTGTGTGGGGTTGGTGGCTTTTGGAGTTCGGGATGAAGCTGGTTCCAGATTGGGTTCTAGCTCAGGGGGGAGCAGTTTTGGTTCCACGAGCGGGCCAGTCGAAAGTTGAAGCATGTATAGCTAGCTTGACGGTGAGCTTATCCGCTGCTGATTCTGAGGTTGCCTCAGGTGGGTGTACTCGGCATGGCATCTAGAATTGAGAGTCTTTATGCCTTCGTCTCATTTGTCCGGTTTCGCTGGATGCCTTGATGAAGTTTTCTGCATCACGAGAACTTCGAGAAGCAGTGTTGGTAAAGCTTCTTTTTACGTCGGTTTGGGGCTTGTCAGGGCTTCGGGATCGTTTTCACGGCCTATTGCGCTGGCCTTCATGACGGCTGATGATCTTCATGCAAGGCTCGCTTTCACTGCCAGCGTGCTGGTCGAAATGGACTTGGAGGAAATGGCGGCGTACTGCCATAGCCGGCAAGGAAAGCAGCCGTTCCTTCATCTCGCAGTGCTTCTGTATCCAGCCCCCGCAGCCCAGCTGCTTGTAGTACTTATGCCGCCATTTTCATCTTGCACTTTGTTTAGTGTTGGCCCACCCGCTAAACATGAGTCATTGCCTTGAAGAGTGTGCACATGCGGCCCAGTGGCCCCCTCCCTAAACAACCCCTGAACCTTCGAAAACAGCCTGAAAATCCCAAGTTGATGTCAAAGCTAGCACTATAAGTAACAAAAACTATCTGACTATCTATTTCGACTAGAACTAAGTAATATAGCTTGTGCCAATGACTGCTGCTAACACTACTACGTATGACTTCTGAAAAACGGCGCCCGTACGAGTACGAAAATAACAAAGCAGTACTGACGAGTCGATCCAAAAGGGAGGGGGCTTATAGGATTGGGAGTATTTGGGCGATTGGGTTGTGGGTGCTTAGGAGGGTTTCAGCAGAGGGAGTTTGGAAGGATTTTTGGGGGCTCTTGGGGGTAGAGGGGAAAAGGAGGAAACTGAACAAAGCCTGTGCCCTCCTTTTTCACCAAGAACACTCACAGCAACAAGGGCAGATCAACCGGGAGTTGCCTGCTGAGCTTCGCGCATGTACTTGCAGTTTCTGAAGGCTTAAGCTTGCACGAAAGTCGTCCCGCACCGTGGCCGCAGGTTCGTTCGTCTCATTGGCTCGAGCTGTTCCTGTCAAGCCTGCCTGTACAGAGGGCTTACATGGGAGCCCGGCTTGGCAAACAGGTCTGAGTAGATACAGCATCAGATGTGGACCAAGCACATTTGGCCAAGAGTTGATGGGAGCACAGAGACTGCTAGCTTCTTGACACGAACCCAAGGACACAACACTAATCAACTCTACACTTGTCTTGCATGTGTCTTCCCAGATTTTCCCTAAAGGACGGGATGTTGAGGGTGTAGACTGCAGCCACCTTGAATGAATGGGTGTGGCTTGTCTGGAGCCAATACTGGGTTGGCTTACTACGACTTTTTCAAGAGTTTCACCGTCCCTCCCGGTATGGGCCATGTGGAGGATGCGTCAGACGCATGCCTCTTTCTTCGCTTAGGCGGCCGCCCGAACCTGGAGAGGATCGTTTATGAGCTTTACGACCCTGGGCTGTAAGTTGAGGGAGTTTGGACCGGTCATCGTTCTCCTTGCTGGCATCTTCTTATCTTCAATCAATCCCCTTTGAATTTGAAGTCCCACTATGTCGTGGTCGGTTGGTTGTCCTTGAAGGGTTTTAAAATGTACAGGCCAAGCCCGAAAGGACCTTCCTGACAACTACGAAGCACGACTGAGGACTTGATGCGGTTTGACAGCCTTCTTGGACCACAGTTTGAGAGGTGCGCAACGTCGCGAAAGTCTGTGTTTGTTTTTGGTTGGGGTTCAGGGTTTAGGGGCTTAGGGTTACTGTAGGACTCCAGGAATTGCACCTTTTCCACTGCCAGTTTTCAACTGCGCACCCTTACTATGCAGAATTGGTAAAATCATCCCTAAGTGGGTAGTTCTCTAAATCAGGGTCCCATTTGGGGTCCCTTTTATAAGGGTGCCGCGCTATCTTAGGGACCCAAAAAGGGACCCTAATTTAGAGAACTACCCAAGTAATGTTGAAGCGCCCCAGGTTTGCCAGGACGGACACTACTTTTATGCGCTTGAAGATTCGCACGGTGGACTTTCTCGAATGGCTCTTAGGAGGCCCTTATGTCTACGACGGCCCAGACTTGTTTGTAGCCCATGCCTCCATGCATATTGACTCTTGGGTGGTCGTTTGGAGCCAGCAGTTGGGGTTATAAGAGTATATTAATTGAGTTTACGCCTTTTACGCCTCAGTGGAGCAGGGCTTGTCATCCGAAGTCGGACCATTGAGGACAATCTCTCCTACACTCAGATGATGAAGCTCTACCAGCAAGTCCTAGTCGGAATCGACGACATCGATGAGCTCAGCAAGCAAGAGCTCTTGCAGGTCCTTGAGGCACAGCGCGGACCGGTGGTAGATCCTTACAAAGAGTTCGAGACTGGGTTTTGGAACTTAACGTAAGTTACCATCACCGACATTTCGGTATACTGTAATTTTCCTTGTATCGGCAACCGTGATGGTAGCTTAAAGCTAATACTGAAATTACTGTAAGAATCCTATCAGGCCTCATATTATGGCAGCTTGAATCAACTTTGCTTGACCACGCAACCCAGGAAAGGGAGCACGAGGAGCGCTGGCAGCGGCTGAAGGAGGAGCGGGAGATCCGCGAGAAGAAGTTGGGGAAAAAGCGTTTCGGCCACGAAACGTTCATGGCACAGTGCATGCATCTGTTCGCGATACGAGGTGGCGGCAGAATATTTTAGCATATTTTGCTTGTGTTGTCATGTTTGATGTGCCTGAGACTGAGGAAGTTCAAGTCCTTTGAGACCCGGATCTTGGAGCAGGAGCGCGCCAAGGGAAGCCCACCCGCACAGGACTTCCTGGAAGTTATGGCGCGTACGGCTGGAGTGTCAGACGTGTCGCTGCACCGTCCCGCATCCGTGCGCCAGGTGGCAGTTTGGGGTTAGGATTGTTTGGGGTTTCGTGTCTCTGTGCAGCACTCAAAATCCCCATCATCCCCTCTATTTGTGATGCACGCCTCTAGACATCTAGACACAGCCGCATATAGAAGCTTCGCTCTTGCAGTGCATGGGCAAGCTGGCATGCTCGTCAGGTGGCATCCCCGCCTCTGGCATCAGGTGAGATCCCAAGACGGACCAAGCACAAGAAAAAAACTCGCCCCCATAGCGCCGAGAACTGTGTGACGGTGGATTTCACCCCGTGCGCAGACGAGGTGCCGATGCCACCTCCGCTACAGCAGCCCGTTGTCCTACTTTTTGGGTAGCCTCAAAGGAGCCCAGAAAGGAAGGATCCCATGCGACGCCTGAGCAAAAGTCGCCGTGAGTGTATCGCTACGAAGTGCTGCGAAGTGTGCATAGGAAGGGGGTGTCAATGCCTTCAGGGGTTAAGGGGTTTTGCATGAGGCGAGTTCTCACCTCACCTCCCGAAGAAGACCGCAGGGAACATGACGCCGTAAAATTCTTTTGTCGCTCCAGTCATTTTGATTTCTGTGCACACTTCCTCGCATATACGTCCCGCAGCTGAAGCCACCGACGACAGGCAGCTGATATACACTCCAGCCAAAAAAGGAAACCCTTTCCCAGCCGAGGTCAAGCAGCTGTCACATCGCTTCTCCGAGCTCCTTCCACGCCTGGGAGCGCTTCCTGCGTCAGCGAGCCCGGCTTCGGGGCTTGCTGATCACTGCCTACTTCCAAGCACTTGGAGTTCAGAGTCTGACAACCTGAGTAAGTAAAGGGGAGCGAAAAAAGCAGGCTGCCCTGCACCCTAATTCCTTCTCGGCGGCGTGCCTGTGTCCGTGTTCCTCAGGCGACGACTGCTGCAGTTGACTGTCGCGGCCTCAGTGCTCCCAAGCGACACGTCTTCAAAAGGCCTCGAAGAAGCATTTCTCATCATTGAGGAGTTCGGATAGATGAGTATTGGACTCTTTGCAAAGTGCTTGTGGCAGAACCTGCCTCTACAGATCCAGGCACGGCCTTCAGAGTCCTACAGCAGTCGGATCTTTGTCCCACGGGTGCATCAAAAAGTTGGCCAACTTCGAAAGAACAGGCAAATCCCGAACCGAACGCCAGTCTCGCCCTTCAGACTCTACAGGCGCGTAGCCCCGACTCTAATGGTCTTCTGAGGTTCAGCCACCGCCTGGCGACCGTTTGGAAGATGCAGTGGGGCACCTCAGATTTCACCGTCGTTTGCCCGGGTGTCTCCTGCAGTTGCACGTGTAGAAACGGTTGATCCAGTTCGGAGTTGTCAGCCATCCGCCTGCAGTTGGTTGTCCATACAAACGTTCACGGCAGTTGATGCGGTCGCCGCAGGCGGTATCACTGCATGCTTTGAGTAATGTTTCATTGTGCCAGATATTGATACTGCCAGGTCCTGAGTACCACAAGTTATAAGGATTCTAAGGAGCCCCACAAGCCGTGGAGCCAGGACTGCTAAGTAAAAAGGCATTACCGACACTTCGACCCATGAGATGCCCCGGACAGACTCGCAGCACGCCTGCGCACCAATGGCTTGGCTGGTTTCTTGCTGTTAGGGAAGTAGGGTGTGAAGTTTTCGTAAGTACACTACACTAACCTGGTGGATGGTCACCTGAGCTCATGTGGACAGCCTGCAGCGCAACTGCTGGGCTCATGATGTTTCTCCGGAATTGCTGTTTCAAAGGTGTGCACTCTCGTGGAGCTCGGTGCTTTGACCTCGAGACGGGTGAGCAGCCCAGAGGGGGGACACGGGAAAACCCACAAGCAGCGCGATGAAAGATAGGGAGAGGGAGGGAGGGAGGGGAAAGAGAGAGAAAGAGAGAGAGAGAGAGAGAGAGAGCGAGAGAGAGAGAGAGAGAGAGAGAGAGAGAGCACGCTATTTTCCATAGTTGCAAGATGTGGCCCCACCTGGCAGCAATGTACGTAAAGTGCAGTCATGGCGCATGCCAAACAACTCAAACAAAGTACTTGATTGTGTGTCACGGTAGTCGTGGGTGTTGCTCCTGCAGAACTAGCGCCCTGACCAGCTTTACTTTGACAAGGGCGATCCACCAGTACTCGTTACCTGCACAGCTCCCGTTATATGCTGTTGCTACCGAAACCGATTACCCCCACGAAGCTAGCACAGCTAGCGGGCCTGGTACTAGTACTTAGTGTATCTGTGCTGCTTTGTTGTAACGGGGAAAGTCAGTGGGGTACGGCTGGGGGGGAACTTGCCGTCAAGGGGCTAAGGATAGGCCTGAGGGCGCGGGGACGAGGCCGGGATGCGAGCTAAAGTACGCAGGGTCAGGGTTGGGTCCAAGACCGCAGCATGCCTACCCGCTTTCCAGTCGACAGGGAAAATGCACCTTACACCGGCTCCAAAGCCTTTGCCCTCGTAGTCCAAAGTGAGGGTGCCGTTACTGTGAACCAGACCTGCGCCCAAAGGAAGGAAGGAAGGAAGGAAGGAAGGAAGGAAGGCAGGAAGAGAGAGCGAACAAAAGCGAAAGGAGAGGAGCGAACGAGAGAGTGTTTCAGGACTGTCATGGTGTAATACAGTATGTTCCAAAACAGTGGCGGTTTGGGAGCCTAGCGGCCTAACAGATATAGGGGTTTCAGGTACTTTGAAAGGATAAGAAGCAAGTGAGTTCTTAAGACTTAACGGGGGACCCTCTGGGTGCTGTTGAACCCGCCAAGGGCAAGCTCCATCAACCTAGATCGTGCAACCCTAACCCTACAGGTACCTACTATATAGGGTACTAGAGCCCCTAGGGCCCTAAATAGTAGGTGCCTGCACCTGCCAGGATGAGCAGGCACGGATCACGATCCTGGGCCGCATGGCCATCGTGCTTCCTCTGGCCTGGCTCTTAGCTCCATCTATGCCTGGGGTTGATGGGTTAAGTACAGCTTGGGTTTTTGTTCTGAAGTAGGATTGTGACTACTAGGCTCAGGGCTGAGATCGGCGGAGGGCTAGGTTCTACAATTAGGGTTAAGGGTTGCACTTTAGGGCGCACTGTCAGCAGAGTTTAATATACACCTACATTCCAAATATTGCACGACACGGGCAGGCTCCAGTTTCGGTTATGTTCGTGTCTTTTGAAAGCACTGGGGGTTCCGAGGTGCGAGTTTTCCGATGAAATGGTTGAGGTTCTTCTTGAGGAGATGCGGGTCTGCGGTGGCAAATCTACCTGGCAAACGTGGTCGTGCAATTTGCTATTCATGTTTGCGCGCAAGCTTTTGCAAATGTGCGTGCTTCCCGTTGCTTGGGCACATGTTCTCAGAGCTACCGGGCGAAGAGGCAAGCCTGCTGTAAAGGGTTTTGTCTGTTGCGATGTGGAGCCTGCGGAATTCTGAACATAAGATCCATGCTCTCGAATCCCAGGGTTCTCGGAGCCCCAGATTCAGCGAGATATGAAGAGAATTGATATGCCCGACGATGGGGGGCTCCCCTGTAAGGTACTTTTGCCAACAAGAGTAGATGATCAATATGATCATTCCTGGATATTCCCTGAAACAAGGTCGCAATTCTAAACCCTCCCTGAAGCAAGGATGCTATGATGCTGGAGGCTCCTGAACCGAACAGTTAGAGCACCTTTAGAGTTCGAGAGCCTCTTGGGCCGTACGGGTCTCTCTCAGAGTGGTTCGAAGTGAGGACCAAGTAGGTCGAAACGCATGTTCGATACCCCTTTTGCAACTATTGAAACCCTGGTGTGATCTGGAACTCGTAGCCCAGTTTGTCCGAGTTTCTTTAGAGCACGGACACAAGGACCTGCGTCTTTGCCGTCTGGTCCTTTTCGGTGCACTCTTCGGCTGCGCAGCGGACGCAGTCGTGATGGAGCGGAACTCGGCCGAGGGTTCCCGCCTGCCTCTTTGAAACACGTGGAGTTCAGAGAGTTGTGGGTCGGTTGTCGGGTTTTGTGCAGTTGTGTTTGCCTTTGTTTGCAGCGACCGGAGAATGAGTCATGGCACTTGCCGGACGTCTGAACGCCCTGCTTACCGAGCGGTAGTCCAACGCCCATGCTGTGTGGCCGGTGACCTTGCCCGCTGTGCCTAGTCGTGATGAATCTTCGGGTCTTGGGTTTCAAAGCCTGTCGTTTTGCCCAACACCAGTCGAGTGCCAAACCCAAACGAGCCTCCAACCATGATGTGAGAGCCTCACATCCACAGACGTGCTGGGCCACATGGAAAGCCGATACTGCAACTAACGTTCAAACTCAGGGCCCATGCATGTAGCTTTCTGTCCTCCAAATTACCTGAGCCTTGAGAGTCAGTCTCTGTAGAAGCCCGCGACGAGAGCAACTCGTCTGACGGCGTCCGCCGAAAAGCTGCTCTTTTTTTTAGGGTGTATGTTTACAAGTCATCCACAGAGACATCAGAAAGTGGTGCGAGACCACAATACCCCTCCAATGCCCAGAACATGACATCTGAGCTCCAAACCTGTAAACCCCAAGACTGGCCCAAAACCTTTCCAGTTTTGGCCGGCTAAACTAAATCCAAAGCCGCAAACCCTAAGGGCCAACTGACCTCTGCAATGCTGGCTCGTCCTAGCTAGGTGGGAGGCAAAAAAATGAGGTCAGTCTTAGGTACCCAAACCCAAACCATAGCCTTCGCCTCCAATGACTTCTCACTACGAGCCTCGCCTGGCATGTCCGAGTGCGATCCCTATATCGAACGCTAGTCCCACGACGTGTTTCCCAGGCGGCCGCCCTCAGTGGACAGGACCCTTTCTCTTCGCCCATGCACATGGTCATCAAGGCGGAGGGGGATGGGGGGCGCGATGGAAGATTTGAGACGGCAGGGTTCAGAGCTTCAACTGTTGAGCGTCTAGATAGTCATGTCTGGGGATGGTCAGCATGGCGCGGGGGAGGGTTCCGGGCTGGGGTTTAGTGATGAAGGAGCCTGCTTAAGGGTGGGGAGCCCAGACAGACATATGTTGCTTTCTTGGTGGGGTTCAGGACGTTAGAGGGAACCCTAAACCCTAACCTAAACCCTATAAACCCTAAACCCTAAACCAGATGCAAAAAGAGGGATTGAGAGTTCAGGACTTCAGCTTCAAGGGTCGATGCTTTGCAGATCACATGCCCACGGGGCATTTCAGTTTCGCTGCCTCCCAAAATGTGTGCATGTGACTATATACATATATATATATATACATACATACATACATACATACATTTATTTGTTTATATTTATTTGTTTGTTTTTTGATTTAAACCTAGATTTGTTTATACAATATATGTGTACGTCTATCTATCTATCTATCTATCTATCTATATATATATATATCTATCGGACAAACCCATTGAACAATCAAACTGGCATCGACCGATCAACTGGCATGGCCCGAAAAGTTGGCATGTCCAACACCTTTCAGCCAGCACCCTAACCTTAAGCAGGACCACCTGAAGTATGCGCGCGCACTCGCGAAATCCTTCGAGTCGCGGTGGCACTTCGATGGGGGCGCCCTGAGCGAGCCAGAGCCCCAGGAGGCTTTGAATCGCACTTTCGGCCTTTTTTTGGTGGTGGATGGTGTGCTTCTTACTGGTACGATGGCGAAGGTTGATGATGAAAATGACCGGTGTTGGAGGTTCAGGCCAATGGGTTTCAGCTTTGCGGCTCATCTACCCCAATGGTAGTTTGTAGACGGATGACAGCTGCCCTGCCGGCCGTGCCACCTCTGAGCTCCCCTTGCAGTGTCCAACTGCGTGCCTCAGCTCCAGACTTTGTCTAATCGTCACTTGTAGTGCCTAGAGCTTCATGTGCCGAGCTGAAGGTTCGAGGTCTATAGGTTCCCGCACGTCCCGCACCTTCACTTTAGATTCCAGATGACTTTTCTGAACCTTTGTTACGTTGCTTAGGAGCCCTCCCCAGAGTGTGCACTGCCATGCTGCTTGCTGGCGCGGTTCAGTCCCTGATCGAACTCCCGAACCAAACTGGAAATGAAAGTGCGAGATAGGTGTGGCAGACGGATTTGGGGGCTTGGTCTGGGAAGTTAGGGCTATGGGGTGAGGTCCGGAACTTGAAACCAAGGCCCGAAGAATTTCGCTTCCATTTCACCTGCTGGCATGCAGGTCCTTGTATGCTATGCTCACCATACCTTGCCTTTGTATGAAGACAATACAAGGCCCATCATGCTCCGGAACTTGTTCAAGGCATGGCTGAAAGGTTCGCGGCTCAGACCCGCGGGGCCATCTTCACAGGCCTAGGCCCGGGCTCAGACACGGTACTGGTTTGCAGATGGATGCCTGATTATGGTAGGAAGGGTGAGGCCTTCCTTGCTCCACGATGTACTGCACTCGTACTTAAGCAAAGCTGCTGGAAGATCGTTGGAGATCAAATTGGGCTTCCGCAAGAATATAGGGCGCAAAGCTGAGGTCCTTCTGCCCTAGGGTTTGCTCGTCGGAGTTGTAGTTGTTGTTGCACTGCTTTCTACCCTGCCAGTCAAACTGCGGCTGCTGGTGGTGGTCCTGACATGAAGGAGGATGGTGGTGATGGTGACGTTTGTCACCATTATCATGTCTTTGTTTCGTGTGTCCCTGCATTCATCCAAGTTTGGCGATGCCGCCCCTTTTCACAGATCTCGTGTAGTGGCGCAGTGCTTGCCAACCCACCTTCAATTGCATTTGGCTTCTTTGTGGCAGGCAGGCTTGCTTTTACGAGGTTGCCAGTTGGACCTTGCTGTTGTTTCGAAGCTTGGGGTTTCAGGTTCTCTTGGATACCGCTGGTAGGGCCCACAAGACCTAGCAGCCAGGGTTACAACCCCGCCCTTCTCTGCAAACCCCCTTCTCATCCTACAAGCCCTCAAATCCCTCAAAACGCCTTTTCTCTCTAAAGCTCTATGGTCAAGCCTATATTGCAGTCAGTTGTCTCCTTGCATCGAGGCCTTTCCCAGGAAGGTGAGGGCACGCTAGGCTCCCGTCTTCGAGTGCAGCTGGGCCCGGGCCCTCAAGTACCTTTTTTTGGTGCGGGGATGCCTGGAAACTTACGGATTAAACTCTAAACCCGAGCCCTAAACCCAAATGCCCAAAACCCTAAGTCAAGTGTTAGCCGCTTACTTAGGGTTTAGTTCAATAGTTTGCACGACTATTTGGGATAATTGAAGCGTCGCACGAGAGGCATGGGGAGGATTTGGGCTTTGGAGCCACAGCTTTGGATTACCGACGAGGGCGACTTAAAGACTTAGAGCTCAGTCTACAACAATAGTACTAAGATTAAGAGTCATAAGAAGTGTAACAAGTCCAATAGTTGAAACTGTTACATAAATACATACATACATACATACATACATACATACATGCATGCCCCTCCACCCCACCCACCCACCCACCCCCCCACCGACCGACCGACTGACGGACCGACCGGCCGACCTACCATGCGTAGATGCATACATATGTACATAGGTACCTGCATTTGCATCATACGTCATGCATGTTTACAGAAGGGTAAAGGCCTTGACCCACGTTCACGGCTGGTCTACATGTTCGGAGTTCTTCATGGGGGGCAAGGATCATCAGTGCTTGTTGTTCTTGAGATTTGGGGGCCATTACCTTGTGCTTTTCTGTCAAGCGGCGTTCGACGACTTATTGCTCGTTCAAGCCAGTTAGAATAACGCTGTGCACAATGTCTGCAAGGCCCATGATTCCGTCCAACAAGACTTTTCTGATGTCAGCACCATATATACGAGTTAGAACTCTTGGCTTAGAAGTGGCAGGCACTGTCAAGAGATACCAAAATGGCCGTGAAATTAGCCAGGCATCCTTGACTTTACGGCCGCAGCAAAGTTACTTCCTTGCCACCGGCATCCGGCGTACTGGACTTTGCTGTCGCAAGGTGCCAGTCAGCGCAGCATGCTCCTGAAGCTGCCCGGATGCAGGGATGGTGATTGAGAGGAGCAGCGAGGCTACCTTTACCATGTGAGATCAGGAGCTTAGGATTCGGGGCTTGGGCATGTACATGTATGACTTGAGGCTTAACAACCTTTGTCCCTGGGTGCCGAAGACGAATTTCTAGGTCGTGTTTCTCGCGAGGATGAACTGCTTGCGTTTGTCCAAGGCACTCGCAAGAGTTTGCCAAGGACCACGCGGTCATGCCGAAGAGGCTGCTGATACTCTGGCTCAGGATAGAACATTTGGAGTCATGCAGGTTGTCATGTCAAGGACTTCATGTCGATTTCTTCTGTACCCCTAGTCGATACAGGACGTGGTGTCTGGATACTTTCAAGGTTTCAGAATGGGGTACCATCTAGGAATCTAGGCGCGCCTATGTCGAAATACACGGGTATGATTGTTGCGGATGCTAAATTTAAACCATGGACCCTGTTCTGGAACAAGGCTTAATCCTAAGCATACTAGTCTTATAAAATAAACCCTATAAGCCCCTAGCCGCAGCCTTCAACTAGAATCAAGGTCCCAGGCTTGTGGGACTCCTTTGCTCCGCAGGCTAACTCATCTGGCCCTCAGCGTGGTCGAGATAGCTCAGAGGCCCGCTCCCCTGCGCTGAACGACGAGTTTTGGAGTTTCGGGTTCACTCTAGGGCCAGGGTATAATGACATAGACATATACAAGAGAGATAGTCGACTATGATATTAGACTAATATGTATTTCAATTACAATAGAGTTTACCGGGGAATAACATACCGTAATAAGTACCATCTACTACAATCGACTATAATATATACTATAAGAAATTATGCCAGGACGCTGGAGTTTCTCGCCCCGCCGGAGCCCAAAGAGGGACAATCGTGTGGTGGTTGTGGTTAGGCGCGTCCAGGGCGTACTTGCAGATTATAGGAAAGATCACCAATATCTCAAAGCAGGGATGACCGTCAACAAATCAGACTGAAACGCTCTCCTACGTTCGCCAAGGAACACACCGGAGCCGACGGACGGGCATCTGCCAAGCTCCAGCCTCAAGATGCTGGCATCCCTCGCAAAACGTATGCTTCGCCTACAGCGCCCGCCGTCGTGCTATGGCCAAAATCCTACATGATGCATAGTCAAGGGCATCTCATTTTTCCGGTAGCTTTAAATGCTGAGGGTGATGCAGGGTTTTGTCCATCAGCGTCATGTTGCTGCAGATACTTATTCGGTGTGCAGCTTTTTGTGGTTTTCGGCTCAGCCCTATGCTTGTAAGCGCGTTACCGATAGGAAAACTGCAAGTTTTGCCAACTGCCATAGGGCCATGAAGAAGAAAAACTTCCCGTAATTTCTACTTCAAGGGAGGTGCATATCCACAGTGGCTTTTTTGGGCCCTCCTTGTTTTCTGCTACAACATACCCGAGACCCGAAAAGTCGGAAGCCCTACATGACAGCCCTGCAGCTCCCTTAGGCCCTTCCCGTCGGCGCTTGGAAGCCCTTCTCGCTGCTCTCGGAGTGCAGCCCCCTCTTCTTGCACCTTGGCACCTTGAAGGGTTTGGGGTTTTTGATTCCATTAATATATAGGGGGTCGAAACCGTTAGAACGGGTGCCCCCTACAGACCCCATATTCTTGAATATATAGTACACTAGACCGTTATAGACTTCTAAAGGTACAGCTCAGTTCTTTTAATAATAGGGCCTCTAAATTCGAATATTGGGTGCGGTTTCAGACTTAAGGGTTACAGCTGTGAGGGCCCCATTCATGGGTTGTAGCGGGGCTTCTCAAGGTCTTGTTATTTTGGGCTTTGCGGATCATCTGGTTCACGAGGTGCGGGGCATATATCTTGGGCCCAAGAAGCCATTCGAGCCCTCCTCGGCCTGAAGCAGTTCAGTTTAGAAGATTTCAAGCTTCGGGGCTAGAGCAATTTCGATTTACAAGACTTGCCTTGGATAGTTGGCTTGGCGCGTATACATCTTGTTAACTCTGAGAACGCACAGACGGTAGGTGCAAAATCAGGGAGGCTGAAGCTGCGCAGCTTCATTGTTCTGTGTGTAATGCTTCTTGGTGTAGAAGAAGTTGTATTCTTAGGCCTATGATCTCGTGCTCTCGAGGATTGCACATTTGACCTGGAGCGAATCGTGGATGATGCTTTCAGAAGACACACATAAATAAACACTTGGCCTTAGCCATGTTCGCTGTTCACGACCCTGAAAGACGGAGCATCAGCCTTCAACTTCCGAACCAGCTGCCTGCGTGCTGCACTGGCTGCAGGACCCCCAATACCAGATGCCCCAAGCCTCAACACGATCAATCAGTGTTAGCAACCAGCTGACCACAGCAAAAGCCCCAAGTTATCATCATCGAGGCCCCTGAACTGTAAATATATGACTGCATACACCCTGTTTCCCTTGCTTGCCGGCGCCTTCAATCCGGATTTCTCTCTCCCAGAACCTTATACGAATACACGTCCTAAAGCCTGTTGACAGCGGCCTACATAGGTGAAAGATGCCAACGCTGCCGCAGAGCCGCAGGCCTCCGCGGCAAACAGTATAGAGGAATATCCCACACTCTCTAAAGCCCGACATTTGGCCCAAAACTTCGCTGCATGCGGGGAATGAGGCTGATGCTGCAGGGTTGAGCACAGTGCGACGACCAGGAATTCAGGACACCTGTAATAAGCCTTAAGCTTTGATATGTTACTAGATGCTGATTTTCGTGTCGCTGAACCATGTCGTCATGGTTGAGGGTTTCCAAGACAAGAAACGACTGCTGCTACTCCGACAACATCCCTACTACTACTGCTGCTGCCACCACCACCACCAACAACAACAAGCAACGGCAACAACGACATCTATACCAGGATGACGACAAGGGCAAGTTTGGTCATCATTACTACTTTACCGCATGCTCTTGTCGCTATGCCGCTACATGCCAGAGACTGCCTGCGCCACACTGACATCCCTATGCCGGCGCCCCTGCAGGGCATTCAAGCCCGGCGACCTCAACTCATCCCGCAGCATTTCTTTTCGGCTCCAAAAAAAAAATTCAGGCCCCCCCCCCTCCAACAAAAAAAAAAAACACCCTCCAGCCTTCCCCTTATAGCCCTCAGAAGCCATGCTCGGGAGCGACTTCGAGCCCGTCTTCGATCGCGTGGGCATTCTCGGGGTCCCTGTCGCCCGGAATCCCCAGGATCTCCTGGAAGATCGGTGCCCTGGCCAGAAGCGGCTTAGGGTTTTTAGAGGGTTTAGGGGGCGCCCCTTTGGTACTTAGGGGTTTTTATAAGGGTTTAGGGGCCCCCCCTTTTGGTAGTTAGGGTCTATAGGGCGGCTTAGGGTTTTTATAGGGGTTTAGGGGACCCCCCTTTGGTAGTTAGGGTAGGGTTCGACTAGCGGGTTCTACAATAGTTAGATGGTATAATTAAAGTGGCCTTAGTAGCATGGGTTTTGTGCTAGGCATGGGCAAAAACCCAGAGAAAATCCCCAGAGCGCCGAAGGGTCCAACAGCTGCAGAAGCCCTTGCGCCGGCTGGCCACAGGAAACTTTGAGGTGCAGCCATTGACGTTACAAGCAGACACTTTTTTTACAATGTGGACTTGGGGACCTTGAGCTTGGATGCCGGGCCTCATTTGTTGATAACTTTCATTCAAGCTAAAGAAATCGAAAATCCGAAGAGCGCGGCGTACTAAAAGCTTATAGCTTTTAGTACGCCGCGCTCTTCAAGCCCCATAGCATACTGTACCGGTCCTACATACCCCATATTCATATACATCCGAAGGCCCCTAGATTCGAACCCTGTTGAGCTTTAGGCCGGTTGTGACTTCCGTTTTGCCCCCTGTGTTTTCTATCGGGGTCCCATATAGGCCGCCCTTTTTTGTTTTGGGGCCAGGTGGTGGTGAAGTCAGCCTTAACCGGCGAAGTCTTGTCCGTGGAAGCCGTGGACTGTCCGGGCACCCAGTTAAGCTTTAGTGTTTGGGGCTTTTTTGCGGCTGTCGAGAGCTGAAGTGCATGATCCAGAGCTCTGGAGCAATGCTCAAGTCGCCCAAGATCTTCTGCAACATCCCCAATCGCCAATTTCGAGTTTAGCATGGCTTGGCAGGCTTCTGCATAAGTCCCGACCGTTTTGCTTCGAGCCTTTGATGNNAGCTTAGCCTGGTGATCCAGGCCCTGCTTGGCCTTCGGTGCTTGCACATATAGAGCATTGCATGCTCTCACTGCGCTTGTACACCTGACGAAGTGTCTAGGACAATATGCCCGCATGTGCCATACAACATACAACATCCAAAACAGACCCCNNCCCCCCCCCCCCCCAACCCCAAAGCCGCAAGACGGGTCTTCAGAAACGGAAGGGCTTGGTTTTCTTAAGCTTCGCGGAGGGCTTTTCGACAAAAATTAAAAAGCAGACCATAAGGGGCGCTTGCTAAGACTGCCAGCCTCAAGAGGCTCAACACCGGCTGGCTTGTCGACCAATGCTCCTGCTGGACGATGAGGTCATGAATCCTCTCCATCGGCTGGAGCAGGCAGGTTCTTTCATGATGTCAGGAGGCCCATGCTGCTTTCAGCTAGAAGGCCGAATCCAGCCTTCTTTTGCAAGGGGGGCGGCAGCTTCATGAAAACTCTGCGCTCTGCTCTCCGAGGTTGGAGTTCAATCCGGCAGCCAGCTTTCAGCCGTGATCACAGAGCCTGCGGCGTTCTGTGTCGCAGGTCTGCCGGAGGTTGGCCTAGGAGAGCACAAAGCCTTGTGCAAGGACTTGAGCCTACGCGGGTGAAAGCATTGCTTTTTACTTCGCCGTGATCAAAGAGTAGGGCCTAGGGAAACGAGTGCTGATGACTGACGTCGCGAACGATCTCAAGACCGGGTGCATTGCGTTTTGGACTGCATGTTAAGGGGTGCCATGCGAATCAGCAAGGAACCACTTGCTGCGCTACTACATCCACACCACTCCTCCTGTTGCCCCATACCTTCCATGCCTGCCGAGTGGGCGTACACAAAGCTTCATCATTGTGACCTTGAGTGAGCCTTGAATTCGCTTGATACGTCTGGCACAGCCCCTGTCAGGGTATGCAGAGTAGAGCTAGGGTGATCGCAAGACCTGTCAGCCTGTAGCCCAACACCCAGGACTCCAACGAGGTTCAGCATGTGGTTCGGAATATCCATGGCAAAGTGGCAACCCTGAGTGGGACCACTAATGCTCTCATGGCGTTTGAACTCGGCGAAGCAGAGAGACTTCTGCAGGAAGGTGTTCATGAAGCTGCGATTCTCCGGGCGATCACAGAAGAAGCTCGGGCCTGGAGAGAGGCCGCACAGAGTAGGCCGTGCTGACTCATGGGCTGATATTCCCTAACTCCTAGCGACCGTCTCGGATGTCGATGAAAGCTCTGTCATGGCGAAGCCGATTCGAACACCACTTCGAGCTGCTGCGGACCAATGCGCTTCTGGATCCTCTGGGCGTTGAACGACGAGTATCGCGGTGTCTTCTCAGTTGCCCTGACTGCAGGCTACTTGGAAGAGATGAGCCGGGGCTTTGAGCTCTGTTTTTGCTCACGTGCCGGTCCCCTCCTCAAGAGGACGACATGAGGCCTAAGGTCTCACTTAGCTACCTATCCCTTCTTGTCGCGAAGCCTTGCCTTCACGCCGAAGATGTGCGACGGCGACGGCTCGCTCTCTCGAGCAATTTCTACCGGTCTTCGATTGCGCTCACCCTTTTGTGCCACGATGCCGGTGATCACGAGAAAGAACGACGCCAGGGCTTGATCTCTGAAATGCTCCATAGGGGCTACAAATGGCAAAGGGTATTTCTATTTCCACTGAGATGGTTGCATTTGCTTACCACAGTATATAGCAATATCGCGACATGAATTTGCGTACTAAAAGGATATATACAAGTTACACGCCTAGAAGCCCATTAGCTGATGCTTTATATTGACATGTTGTCTCTGGGCCTTAAAGTAAACCCCCGTGTAGCTAAAGCAACAGTACACACGTAAATGGGAAAGTGGGCGGCTAAGCCGAGTCCTAGACCATTTTGTCCAACGGGTGTTTCGGCTGCTTGGTATAGCTTAACCCATGAACACACGACAGGTCCAGTGCCAGCTCTGCACTCCTGCGAAGTTCCGTCGATGTAGGCGCAGAAATTTGCCAGCAGAATCCTTGAAAGAAGAGCAAGCACCAGAGGTTACAGAAAAAACGATAATACTAGTACACTTACTCTGAGAGTCTGTAGTTGCCGGGAAACTTGTTTGCAAAGATAGTTTAACATCCATCGTCCCGCAACCCCAAACCCACCCCCCCCCCCTCCCCTCCGCTTCGCATGCTGCCTCCTTTGGGCTCCTTCGGCAGGCCCTGAAGTTGGACGATGTCTTTTCCGAGGACGACGTTAAAGGGGGGGGGGGGTGAGATGTTGACGCTAAACCCTTAAAGCTCAGCCCCCAAAAGCCCTTCAGCTTTAAGGGCCGAAGGCGGCTCGTGGCCTGCTCGAAGGACCAGCTGCTGCTGCAGGCGACTTTGACGGCATCCTTTGCACCGTTTCTCTGGCATGGTTGAAGAGAGGTCTGTGGGGTTCACGGCCTGGGTTTGGGGTTCAAGGCGGTGAAAGTGACATGCTTAATTAGACGGTTTGCAGCAGGTTTTTGACGAGGTTGCCTAAGTCTAAGACTCGCTACCAAGATACTACCAGCTGCGAGGCATCAGATGCCAGGGTAGGCGACTTGTTTGTAACCTCAGACTGTGCTTTCAGTGCTCAGAGTTGTTGATGCTGCCAGGTTCTATGCCCATGGGATCACCAGATGCCCGGGCCCTCTTTGATTGATGGAAACGCTTCACGGCGTTAGCCGCAAGTCTTGAGTCGCAGATGCGAGTTTAGACGTCAACGCCTCCCCACCTCTAAAGCCCGAAACCCAACTCTCACGAGTTGACCACCTTCTCCAGAACAGGGATGATGGACGTCGGATATTTTATAGAAGCGAAGACCAGGGATTCACAAGTGCTCCGCAGCCCAAGGCATGGACTACACCTCTGCCCTGAAGGGGCCGCAGACGAGCCGGAGGGCTTCGAAGAGCTTCGGTCCCAGAGACGCCCACTTCCAGATCTGTTCTTGTCTCATCAGCCTGACTGCCCTTCATACTGAGTAGTGGTCCTACGAGCACTATTGTAGTATCATGGCATATGAACACATATACACACACACACACCTCCCTCTCTGTCTCTCTCTCCCTCTCCCTCTCTCTCTGTCTCTTTATGTATGTATATATGTAGAGCTAGACGTAAATGTACAAGTATATCACGTAAGCATGTGGGAGCCAAAACAATACAATAGCATACAATACAATATAATGCAATTGCAACATACATGTAAATACAAGTGCAAAGGTAGCTATGCGTATAACTATATGTATAGATATCTTTAATAATGCATACGTAAGTGTATCTGTTTGTTTGTTTGTTGGTATGTATGTATGTATGTATGTATGTATGTATGTATGCATGTATGGTTGCTTGCTTGCTTGCTTGCTTGCTTGCTTGCTTTTTTGTTCGTTTGCTGGTTGCTTTGTGCATCTATTCTCTCGTGTAGCCAGGCGTTCCAAATCCTTGAAGCCTCCTCGCACAAGGTCTGGACGATGTGAGCAAGGAATCGACAGAGGATCAGGCTCCGTTCTGCAAGCATCCGCAGAAGTCTCTTTGCTTCCGGGTGTCATGGTTGCAGCAGTTTGGCACGAGACAGGGTTTCGGGTTGAGGTCGTGGTGGTACTTACTGGTTCTTGCACGGCATCAAGTGTTTTTTCTCTCATGATTGTCATTGTTCTGTGCTTCCTGCGCAGATTCAATCACTAGTTACTATCACTTACTCCTGCTCCTACAACACTACCACCGCCACCAACTACCACTACAACTTACTGTAGTTCTACGACTGCTGTTATCGTTCCTGTGATTACTGAGGCCGGATAGCTGCTCGGGATCGAGCCGAGCCGGGTTGCTCTAAGAAGGTCGAGGGGAAACTGCTTAGGGTATAGCAAAAGGAAGCAGGCTAGGGAGCTTCGGGCAGGTGTGGGTGTTCCGGTTTTTGCCACATGTGAATGTCGCGACAGAGGAGTGTTCTTCGGAAAAAAAACATCGGAAGAAGCGTTTTCCAGCCTTGTTTGGCATCAGTTCGTCTAACCCCCAAAACCGGCCGCCAAAGGCAGCAGCTGAAACCGGGGAACCAAGAGATAGATAGATAGATAGACAGATAGGATAGTCATATAGTTGCGTGTGTGTGTGTGCACACGCTACATAGAATCTCCTTCTCCAGCATGGCAAGGCGGAGGCTCAGGTTGTGATGCTCAAAGCGGATCCGCAGATTGCGAAGGCCCGCTTGGCCTGGGTTTCAGTTACCCAGAGGCCAGGGCTTCGTCCGACCGGCCCAACATTTGGGTAGCTTTCTAAATCCTTTGCGGTCCTCTTTGTAAGGGTGTCATACTGTTTGGGGACCTACGTAGAACGGGACCCAAATTTAGAGAGCCACCCATTTGTACCGAAAGATCGAAGCTTTCACCTCGCAGGTGCATGGCCAAGCCTTGACGAAGGCAGATGCATGGCCCCCAAGGATCAGATGCTTTGGGCCGCAGACTAGGATGTACACGTTAAGCTTTGCGGGCAACTGCCAGATGCTCGACCCAAATATACATGCAGGCGTGCAGTGACTATAGGCTTGCAGGTACCTTCTTCACCCTGTCCGAGTGGAGGAAAGCCGGATGGAGCAAGAGGTGAAGCTATGTAGCTATATCGTCTCTTCTAGTGCTCATTTGCACTTGGTTACGTGGCAGCACCGTCATCTCCAAACCCAAACACTTGTACTGCAGACATGCACAACGATCTCGTGGTCCAAGTCGTCGATAAACAGCCAGGTATGAATGACCAAGGTTCAAATTGGCAAACAAGCATAAGAATGCATGCAAGCATGTATGTAGGTTTGTGTAATTTAATTGAAAGATACACACACACATATATATATATATGTGTGTGTGTGTATGTATGTATGTATGTATGTATGTATGCATGTATGTATGCATAGTCGTATGTACATGTACAGGTATATGTATAGGTATGTAGCTGGGTAGATAAGTAGGTGGGTAGCCAGGCATAACGCATGCATGGACTTATGTCTGTATTTCTGTCTGCACGTGTACTTCTGTGTAATGTGAGTTTGTCATTCCGATGGTGCTGTAGCGGGACTTGTTCGATCCTGGTGGATCCACATGTTTGGTTTTATGAACGTGTCACTCACAGAGCAGAGGAAGCAAGGCAGTAGCCGACCCTCAGGAACATTGTGAACATCACCTGCGTTCGTGAGACAACTGCAAGACCACGGTGGTGGGACAAGAGGTTGAGAGGGCAGCTTTGAGTGAACCGTGAGGGCTCTGCATGTCGGGTGTGCTCCTTAGCTTCGTGTGTGATGTGTCTACTTCCAAGCAGCTGCCCAAAGTCGGCAGTGTGGCAACAGGTACGCCACAGCAAAGTTTATAATCGGTATTGTCGTAACATTACAAGACATGTATACGATACATGAACCCTAGGCTGCAAACTGGACACCTGCTGAATACAGTGCAACATGATTCAATGCGGAGGGCGGTAAGACAGTTGCGTCGTTGTGCATCAACAGAAGCCTTAGCTACGTATAATCGTGAGCATCGAGACCCAATGCTTCACCCTACCTGACCTAGCGTTTAAATCCTAAACCGAGCCCTGAGAAGCGCAATCAAAAGCTGAAAGGCCAAACGCGAGACCTCTGCAAGCTTCACTTTGGCCTGCGGACATACCTGTTTCCATTGCCCCCCCCCAAAAAAACAAAAACAAAAAAAGAAATAACGGACACCACCAGAGCATCAAAGCCCGCCGATAGAACGCCATTTCTCCAAAGCTCTGTTGAATGTTCGAAATCAGAACACTCAAACCCTATGACAATCCCTACAACCCTACTCGCCCTAAACTACAAACCCTAAACCCTCCAAGCCCTAGCAGCCCCTGCAGCCTCAAGCCATGCTTCCTCATCCTCGGCCCCCCCTGGCGCTGCGGCTGCTCCGAAAGCTTTCCGAAGGCGAAGGGGCCCTTGCGAGTACCCATAGGCCCCTTAGTAGTTCCGTTTTTGTGGTTTATATTTAGGATCCTCTAAGGTAATCCCAAAAAGGAACTACGAAGGAGCCGATGGGTAGAATAGAGTTTGGGGGAGAGTATTGCTATGTTTATAATAACTATACGGAGAATATCCGGATAGAAATGATTACAGGGGCTCTTGCAAGTATAGGGTTTGGAGAGAGTACTACGCATTTTTGCCAAGGAGTTCTACG